TTTAACTCGCCCCCTCCCCACTCCCAACCCTCGGGCCCCCCTTCCCCCTCTAGCCCCTCTCCCACACCCCCGCACCCACCAACATTCACACATTCACCTCCCCTTCCTTTCCCCCTTCCTCCTCCAGCTCTCACCGCATTCGCCACGTCCACCTGCATACCCCCCTCCGTACTCCCCACCAGCAGCTGCACCAGCTCCGCATGCCCCCGCTGGCTGGCCACCCACAGCGGGGTGCGGCCCTCCCGGTCGGCGGCGGCGGCGGCGGAGGGCTGGCGGTCCAGCAGCAGCCGGGCGGCCTCCAGGTGGCTCCAGTAGCAGGCCATGTGGAGCGCTGTCATTCCGGACTGCGGCCAGGACGGGAACGTGGGCAGGGGGCCCGACTGTGCATGTGCGTGTGTATGTATGCGTGTGTGCTTGTGCAGGCCCACTAATGTCTGCTTCATGGGGCAAGGTGGGCTACATAGTTACAGAAACAGAGGACAAATGGGCAGGTAGGAGAGGTAGGTAGGTAGGTAGGTAGGTGATAGGAAGGTAGGTGATAGGTAGGTAGGTGATAGGTAGGTAGGTGATAGGTAGGTAGGGGCCGTCGACTGCAACAGACAAAACAAATAGGGGAGAGGGAACACCACCAGTAACGTCCTCTCTTTCTCAAGAGACAGATCTACTACTCAGCTAACGTACTACTAAATATACCTTGTCGGTGAAGGTCAGCGTCGCCCCCGCCTGCAACAGCCGCTCCACCTTGGCCGCCGGAGGCGGTAGCGTGGTGGCACATAGCTGTAGCAACCGCCGGGAGGCCTCCGCGGGGCTTAAAGATACGGCAGCCGTACCGGCTGCAGCAGCGGCAGCGCCGCCGCCGCCCCCAGCGGAGGAGCCTGGTCCTGTTCCTTGCAGGCCGCCGTTCAAGACCCCCACCGCCCATTGCTGTTGCTGTTGTTGCGGCTGATGATGATGAGGGTGGCGGTCTTGGGAAGGGTGCGGGTGCTGGGCTTCGAGGTGAAGGGAAGGATGGAGTGGCGGCAGCAGCGGCGCCGCTACCGCCGGCGTGTGACCGCGGGCCGACGGCGATCCTCCGCGAACCGTGAGGCTGCAGACCGCCGCCTGGTCGCCGCTGCCGCCGCCGCCGCCGGCGTCGCCACCACCGCCGCTGGTGAGGGAGATGGGGAACCGGTGGGAGGTGCCGCCGGTGGGAGGGTCAGACCCACGATGGGCCCATGGGTCGGTCTGAATCGGGGGTGACGGATGCGCTGCCGCCGCCGCCGCCGCTGATGACGATGATGTCTTTGCCACTGCCGCTGCTGCCGCTGCGGTGATAGTCACGGAGGTGAGGTTGGCGGGGGAGACGCCCGTTGCTGCCGCAGCGAAAGCGGTGTTGGTAGATAACGTTGCGCCCGACAAAACGTACGGCGCCGTTGCATAGGACCCAGACACAGAAGCCGCTGCCGGCGCCGGCGCCGGCGCCGCCACCGCTAAATCGGGTCCGGAGTGTGATGGGGTGCGGTGTACGGCTCCGCGTCGGTCCGTGTCACCGCCACCGCCGCCGCCGCCACCACCGTTGGATTCCTGGTAGCAGAAATGGTGCACTGGCGCCGCGGGGGCAGCCGCGACGGAGGCATGGGCCGCCGGCGCGACGCCGTGGTGCATGCCGTACGGCATAGCATGACCCTGAACCCAGTTAGAAACCGATACTGTGCGCGGCTGTGGCAGGAGCTGCGGCGGCGGCGCCGGCGGCTGCTCCGCGCCGGTCCCGAGGCCTTCTGTGCGGCGGAGAAGGGCCGTCGGAACGGGCGGCGGCGGCGGTGGTACGATATGCGTTTCCAAAACTAAGTCCCCTGTGGCCCGCGGCCACCAGCCTCGGCTACCAATAGTGTGGAATCCCTGGCTGCCGCCACCACCGCTAATGGAAGACGAGGCCGTCTGTGCGTGCTGCTGCACCGGGGACCGATCGGTAGGTACAAGGCTGTACGGCACCCGAGCGGCGGCCCCGTCGGCGGAGCCAGTAAAGGAGCGCCGCCCGCCGCCGCTGCTACTGCTGCTGCCTCCGCCGCTGTCAAAACGCGTGGCGCCAACGGCAGTGGTAGCGGCCGCGGCCGCGGCAGCGGCGGGCCCCCCTCCTCCGCCATTGCTAGTAGGCGTCCCCGTCGTCACGCCGCCGCCGTCGCAGCTGCCGCCGCTGACGCGGCCCTGCCGGCCGATCAGATCACGGTCATGAGTTGCTGAGAAGGATGCATGTAGTGAAGTCCGCATTGCCGTCCACGCAGCGAACGCCGGCGGCGCGGTGGCGGCGGCGGCGGCGCCCGCATCCTCTTGCGCCGGCGGCGCTGCCGGTGGTGCCACCCCTGGTGGCGGCGGTGGCGGCGGCGGCGGCGGCGGCGGCGGCAGCTGCTCCCGCGGGCGCAGCAGTACATTAGGTGCAGGAATGGGCGCCACGGGGCCCTCCAGCAGCGGCTGCGCAAGTGCATCCTGCGATAATGTACGACAACATTGGCGGCGGCGCACATGCATATTTCCGTTGACGGCTCAGCGGAGAGCTACCCATGGACCTGTTGGCAGTCGACACACCCGCAGAGGTTTCCCGACGGCGAACGTCTCCTGCCGTCACCCCGTACAATAACGCCCCCGCGCCGCCACGCGGCCCGTATATACTTCCCCCGCACCTACCCACACCCGCCCACATGGACAACCCCTTCCCTACAGTAGCCCGCATACACACCCCCAACACACACATGCACGGAGACACACGGCTGTCAGATCATTAACATACAGAGATTCACACACATACATATATACATACACACACACCTGCGTTTCCTCGTGCCGGTGCAGGTTGGCACACATCTGCATGTACGCATCCACCACCAGCACCACGAGCCGGCAGCACACCGCCGCCGCGTCGCCAATCTCCGCATCCGTCAGGCGCGCCGAGTCGCGGTCCAGGTGTACGGCAGTGTTTCCAAGTGTACGGAGCACGTGCAGCGCGGGCGCCAGCAGGGATTGCGGGTGATGGTCTCGGAGCCGGTTGATGAGGTCCACCAGGTCGCGATCCGGACGTGACGGTCCGGAGGGGTCGGCGGGGTCCAGCTGGAATAGCGCATCCTAGCGGGGACAGGGCATGAGGGCGGGCATGAGGCAGGCGTGTATGTGTGTTGTGCGTGTGTGCGTGTGTATGTGTGTGTTGGGCGTGTGTGTTGGGCGTGTGTGTGTGCGTGTATGTGTGTGTTGGGCGCGTGTGTTGGGCGTGTGTGTGTGTGTGCGCGCGCTATCCCCTCCTTAAGCTCTGTTCCCTACGGTCCCTAGTTCCTGACCAGTTCACGTTCCATCCACCCACTAACACCCTCCCACCACTTCCCGGCCATCAATCCATCCACAACACTGTTTGTAGTGAAACTCACTGCACCCCACCTGCGCAATGGCTTCAGCCAGGATACGGCCCTGTACGATAAGCGTCTGCACGAACAGGACGACAGAGCCACGGGGGCGGAGGTGGCGAAGGGGAGAGAAGGTTCGGTCCGGTCGGGAGAGGCGGGGAAGAGGGTATTTGGTTGTGGACCAGTTGACACTGCCACTGACAGCACTTGAGCCCGTGTCGACGTCAGGTGGGAAAGACGAACCACACAAGCCTAACGCATTGGCGGAAGAGGCAGCCAGGAGGGGGTGGTGGTGCCGGGGGAACACGATACAGGACACACGGTAAAACGATAGCACCGTGCTGATGCTGATGAAGGGTCTCCTTTTGAGCCGGCTGCTAGTCCCTTTCTTTATTTATATACTTTACGTCCTCTCATCAGCATCTGACACACATACATATATACACATACACACACACACATACATACATACCGCCACCCACCTTCATCCCGGCTCGTGGGGGTCGCGGGTGCGGTTTGCACGAGTGCTGTATGAGGTCCACCAACACCTGCATGGCGGATGTGAGGTATGGGTGCGGAAGACGATTTGGGGGGGGCGGATGCGGGTTGGAAGGGGAAGCGGGGCCGAGAGGTAAGGAGAGGTCGCATGGCGCATGGCGGGATGTGTTGGGCCGGCAATGGGCCCCAGCATGCATGTATGTGTGTATGACTTAGATTACACTGTGGGCCGCGAGAGCCGAGGGCCGAAGCCGAAACACAGCGCAAGGGTCGGGAGCACACAGCACACGTCGGTTAGTCTTGTGTATGTATGTATGTATGTATGTATGTATGTATGTATGTATGTATGTATGTATGTATGTATGTATGTATGTATGTATATATGTATGTATGAATGATGCGTAGGTGGCGTCCATGGGTATTCGGAACAGCTGACGACCGGTCTCCCGGGGAGGCCGGGGGCCCTGGATACGATTAACAATTGACGGACGGACGGACGGATGGACGGACTAGCAGACGGGCGGACTAACAACACGGCCAACTAACCAAGATGCCAACTGACTATCGAACTGATCCAACCGACCGACCGTCGGTCTGCTCTGTCTCACTAACGTGTTAATGCCAGTGTAGGAGACCTCCCAGAACGCTTCTGACCCTCACCTGCAAATCATCCTGCAGATCCTCCTTGAGGGTGCGTTCCATCCGGCCCTTTAGCAGTCGTTCGTTCAACGCCTGTAGTGGGATGGAAGCACCGCAAAAGGCTTTCGCGACCTGATTTGGCCTGTCTCTCGGAAAATAGGGACGCTTAACAAATCGTACCCTACCGTAACGCTCTGACAGAACGTTGCGCGGTGTGTTGCGCGCGTGGAAGTCAATGCGACGCAAACACCATGTCGTTCCCATGTTCTGGAAACAATATCTACCTGGACGGTGTGCGGCCATAGGCTCCGGAGCTCCACGATCGTCCACTCGCGTCCCTTGAACTGGAACGGTGCGAGTAGCCTTTCCCAGGTTGGTTTACACACCGCGTTTGGAATGGTAGCTGGGTAGCGCCAACACAAGTCAAAAGGCCCTTCGCAGCGACATCGCGGAGGCCGTGGCTGCCCGTTTGGCAGCTGCGTGGGTTCTGCAGGCTGTTCTGCTGGCTTCAGCTGCGCTGGCAGGAAAGCCGCAAGAGTCATTCCTTTGGGAGGCATTTTTGTTTCGCGAGTCCACCTCCTAAAGTTGGAAAAAAGTGGTTTCACCGACAGCACAGGGGCTGTACGTTCTATAATCTTACGCAAGATAGATTTATTTCACCATACATAGTTAATAACGAGATTGTTCGGTGGGGTCGGGTTCCCTCTAGATATCGCCATTAGCGCTCGCCTTACGAGGCACACCCGCGCACACGGGTATGTCAGAATCTCTGACAGAGAAAGCATCTGCATTTTTGGGGCAAGCAGCTTACCAAGCACAACTTGCATAGAAGCTGCTTTCACCGTTTGGATGCCGGGTGGAAATTGTACGGGAGTACGGATCACGCAGCACTAACCAGCCAAACGAACCCAGTTAGCCCGGCCGGGCGGTCAATTAGCACAAGCAAGGCGACACGCCAGCGCGTCATGTAATATATTTACCTTCCTAATTGCTTGCCCAGAGCTTTTAAGGTTGCTTTCCTAGCTGCTTGCCCAAGCTTTTAAAGTCTTGCTGCTTTATGCGCTGCCAAAGCTGGTGAAGAATACTGGGATTACTTTTCACAACCGTATCAACCACCGCACCCTGCCTGTGATCTTTGCGAAACAACTGCAGAAAGCGATAAGCGCCCGCTGTTATGCCTATCACCAGCTTCCCCCTAGCATACGCCACGTGCCAGCTTAGCACATTCAGTTGAACACCGACGCTGCAGAAAATGGTAATTTAACAATCTAGTGCCTATCCTAACATACCCTCCCTGAGCACATCAGGGCAACGGGTGACTTTCCCGAGCAGTTCATCGCTGCGAAGGTGTTCGCAACCGTGTTCAAAAAGACGGGTGACAGCTCTGTTGTGGGCAATTACCAAGGCATAGCGGTAGGCGGGACCTTGGAAAAATGCTGCTCGTCTATTATCCTCCGAAGATTGTTCCAAGCAGGCCAGGACCTCAAGCTTAGGCATCGAGCAGAGGCTGGTTTTAGGGTTTAGGACTTCGGCACCATGCATCATCTTTTCGTCAAGCGGCACCGCATGCAGGTGAATTGCTAACACGGGGCTCGCCCGCTGTTTGTTATCTTGTATCGAGGTTGCCTAACCAGGGAGCATTGCTCCACCAAACCATTCGGTGAGAAACCGATGGCCTCATGCCGCTTGTCCATATTGGGTCAACTCACGGATGGAGGTTTAAGCTAGGGTTTATATTAGTGGGGGCTCAGCAGCCCTAAACTGCAAGTGGTGGGACCTTAAGATGCATCGTCCCCAGATATGGTGTTCAAAAATCTTATCAAATCTTTTTAAAAGTCCTGTTGGCCACAAGAGCTCGACTGTTCGGTGCGGGCAGGATCCTGCCGTACCATCATTGACGGGTCCCAGCAAACCCTTCGCCGCCGCCGCCGCCTCTTCCAGCTCCATCTTCTGCCTCTTCCCATGGTTGCTTAGTTCATGCAGTCCCGAGTCCTAGCTCCTCCATCCGTACACCCGTACATTCACCCATCGGCACGTGGTGCCTCCAGATTCCACACGTGCTGATGGGTGAATGTACGGGTGT